CGTGTGTGTGTGCGTGTGTGCGTGTGTGCGTGTGTGTGTGCGTGTGTGCGTGTGTGCGTGTGTGTGCATTTCTTCTGTTGTAGTGAACGAGAAAACCACCAAAGTGGTGGAGGCAGCGTTTCAACACGCTCGCTACCCGAGCATGCAGGGGGAGAAGTCTCTCCTGGTCGTAGGCAGAGTCCTCTACGGCCTGGACAAGTGAGTAAACACAAACACAAACAAACAAACAGCACAACATGGCCGCTCATCGTGTTTCTTTTACCGCAGTTTGGAGATTCGCAACTTGTCGATYGGTCGAAGCGCCTTCGAGCTGCGTCCAGGGGAGGGGATCGGTCTGGAGATCAGTAATGTGTCTGCGGTGTTCAGCGGGACCATCCAGTATGGATACGGCAGCTGGCTGTGAGTCAGACCGTGACCCACCACGGTCCACACTTCAAACCTCACCACATTTGGAAAACAGAAACAGAAAAGAACTCGACAGACAAAACTGTCCTCCCAAATCTACACTTTAATTTTGAGTCTCCATCAGAGATGAAGAGTCAGAGTTCAAATAATGTTTCAATGAGCAAAAAACCAGGAAGTTCTTTTTCTTAAAGAGTTCCCCTTTGATGTCACTTCCTGTTTCACTTTAGCTGAGCCAAATTTTAAAAAAGTTATGAGACAAAGTAGGTAAAATAATGTATTTCATGACAAGTTTCTTAAATATAAAGATTGTATTTTTTGTAGGATTTGTATGTCACAGACACATCAAGTACTCACTTTGTGAAAATTRGAGGAAAAAACTGGAACATTAAACAAGAGTAACTATATTTTCTGTCGTCTGTACAATATTTTTCATTGCTCTGAAAAACATTTGAATATTTGATACAAACTTTATGAAGTTTGTCACGTTAAAAGTGTCCAGATCCACTTTGTACAATTACTGATGATTTATTTGTATTCAGTGTGCATTGCCAATGCACACTATTGTGATTCGTTTCCCATCCAAGTCATCTTAACTTTGCCATGCTTCTCCTCCTGTATACTTTGTCCTAGAGCTGCCATTGTAATTTATATCTGTAAAGCCCCTGTGCCAAATGATGGCTATGCCTTTTGGTGCCTGTAAAACGTACAGTTTTTGAAATATTAATGTTTAATAAATTATAATGGCAGTCAATGGAGCCTTGTATTGGTCCAATACTGCCCCCTGCTGCATCTACACATTATGGTACTGCACCATAGTTTTTAAAATATTTAAACTCAGTAGTTCAGTGATTACAATATTAATATGATTGTTTTTTGATGTTTTACAATAATATTGTCTTAAAACTGCTCTATTGTTGTAATATTATGCAGTTTAGTGTCAATAATTGTATTGGCAATGTGGCCTCTTTCTGCATACATACAAACCAACCCCTGCCACCATCTTCTGCCACAACTCCATTGGTCTGATGGTCTTTGTCATGGACTTTCATGTGGGAGATCAGGGTTCAAAATCCAGCTAATGTAACTTTAAGAAAAAATCTCTTCAAACTTCATATTGTCACACAATTACCTTAATTACAAACACCTGCTGACGTGACAGGCACAAGCTGGTATAGAAAACATATTTGAACTTGGTCAAAGTTCATTCTGCAAGTCCAATGCTGCAGACAACGCCATGCTACGTGGCAATGCACACTTGTTTTTACATCGTAAAAACCCATGTCTAGTTGTATTTGTATTTGTATTTCTCTCACCAGATCCAAACCAATTCAGCGCTTCAGTCCTGAGGTGAAATAATATTGACTTTTAGATCTTTTTTTTTCTTTTGTGCAGAGTCAACGTTCAACAAAGTGTTGATTTTGAGATCGAGACTCAGATCGATCTCGGAATAAACCCAAGACTGTGTGAGTATTTTGTGTTTTCTATGTACGCGAGTACAAGTGGACGTACGTAAATAGAGAGGTCTATAAAGGACTTGAAAAAAAATAACTAAGTTAAAGTAAAATTACATGAACAGAAAATGACTTTGGTAAAAATAAATGTCACTGATGAGAACACTACCGAAGTAAAAGTGATAAAAACTGTTCACAAAAAATTGGAAAAGTAAAATTACTTTTTACACACTCTGTATGAAATAAACTGTTGAATTTACTGAACCAAACTGGTTCCACTAAGTCAGGTTGAGTAAACTGAGTAATATACTGTACAGTATGTTTATTCTTTGCTCAGTTTACTCAACTAGACTCAGTGGAACCAGTTGACATGATTTTTTTGAGTAAACTCAACCCTTCATTTTTAGAGTGCAGAAACATCTTTCACAATGAGTTCCAGCATATTTAATGTTGTAACGAGTAACTAGGTGTTACATTTAAAGAAGTTAAAGTATCATTTTTAGCTTTAAAATGTAACAAAATAAAAGTAAAAATAGCTATTTGAAAAATAATTGGTAAGATTACAAATCTTCAAATAAAAAACTACTTGAGTACTGTAACGAAGTAAATGTATTTAGTTACTATAAACCTCTGCTTAAATATTTGCTACTTTATGTTACTTTAATCTAACTTTGCTGGTTTTCAGTCATTTTATTTTCTGTCATTTGTACCTGCGAGTTTTCACATCAGGAATGTTGCCAACATTTGACATTCTGCACAATAACTATAAAAAATACATTTGTTCACAATTTGGCTGTTATTAACCCTTTAAGTACCAAGGCTGTAGGTCGATATATAAGGTCGATTTTGGGCATTCGTTGTTATTATGGTTGTAAAATTGGCAGGATATATTTTAAGTTTGAGAGCTTTGATTCCTTTTCCCATGAGTAGTTAAACTTGACTTTTAACATTTAGTTAATGATTATTGCACATTATAAGAAAATTATAGCAGTTTAAAAGAAGAAAAATACAAAAACAAAAAAAAATCAAGGTTTAATGGGAAAAAATATTCTGTATGTTAATGAAGTTTTGATTTGGTATTTGAAATGTGACCCTGTACATGATTAGAATATTTAGGACACTGTGTGTACAAAATACAAAGCAAAAGATAATTATAAACACAGGCGAAATTAGGCCAAATAACACTTCAAAAATAAAAAAAACTATGTACATTCTGGAATTACATTGATATTGTTCATGAACTTTTGATTTGACACTTGAAAAATGAATTTTGAACATAAAAACAGTGCAAAAGAGAAACTTCCTCTAACGTCTGACCTCTTCTTTACCTTCAACCTGTTTTACTTTTGATTCTTTATCTTTACTCATTCAGACTTTGCTGCCATCCGGCTCACATTGTCTTTCTAACTTGTGTTTTTTTTATCAGATTGTGGTAAATCCCGAGTGGCAGCAGATACCTCCGACTGCTACCTGAACTTTCACAAGTTTCACCTTTACCTGCAGGGAGACAAAGAGTGAGACCAACGCGTTAAACCGTTTGAAGGGGAAGGGTTCAGGTTTACGAGCTCACTAACGTGTGTTTGTTGTTTCTCAGGCCCAACTGGCTGAAGAAGCTCTTTACAAACTTCATCACCTTCACCGTGAAGCTGGTGGTCAAAGGTCAGGTGAGGGAGACCACCAGGACCCGAGCTGCGTTTCTGTCTTTGTCTCTGATCAGACTCAACAAACGTGTCTCTGTGCAGATCTGTAAGGAGATCAACAAGGTGACAGACATTCTGGCTGACTTTGTTCAGGACACAGCAGGTGTGTGGCAGCTTGGTGTGCGTTATTAATAAAACATAAAATTAAACAACTCACTTTGAAGACATTTCYGTAAGCATTTTATTTTCTTGCATATTAAGATTTTACAGCTTCGGATTTAAAGTGCTTGTGACGTGCCTGTCCTTCAAACACAAAAAGTCAAAGAAAATAGCTTCATATTTAGGAAAATTGTCATAAAACACATGATTTAACCCATTTTGTCACATAACTGGCATATTTTGAATTTGGCTCAGCTAAAGTGAAACAGGAAGTGACATCATAGGGGAACTCTAAGAAAGAAAACTCTGGTCTTTGTTTATGAAAACAATATTTTTTGAACTCTGACTTTTCTTCATCTCTCTTATAGGGACTAAAATAATCTAAAGAAACATCAGAAGATTCCTTGCAGTCTGTGTTGTTTGCCGTTGCAGCAAAGCTCTGTTTACATGCAGACATTCCCCTTTGACCTCACTTCCTGTTACTTCACATGCAAATATCTTAACAACTGTTCATCTCAGTGGTGTGAAATAGCTTTTGCTTTATGTTATCCATGTTATCTTTCCAAAAGTGCATTCATATTTATCACAAAAAATTGGTGTCACAGACCCTTTAAATTCTGCAGTAAACCAAGCTCTATATTTTTGTTCTGTCCTTTAAAATGATTAAATATCATAAAGTTTGTGTTTGTTTGTGTTTGTTTTTGTTTACAGCGGCCTTCGTCAGTGACGGGGGCATCAGTGTGGATATCGATATAAACACTGGTCCTGTCATCACAGCCAACTACATAGAATCATACCATAAGGTACAACAAATACTGACGTTAAATATTGATCTAAACATTAACATTTACGTTTTTTCTTTTACAAACAGGCTTTTAGCTAAGTTAGATTTTATTWTWTTTTTTTACTACTAGTACTTTTGTATGAATGTAATGCTTGTTGGAGGGTGAGCTTAAGGTGAATTAAGCTTTTCCCACATCTCTCATACGCAAGGTTATGAGGAAACTTTTACCAAGGTATTACTCATTACTTTTAATATCTTGACTGTGCGAAGTGAAAAGTGACACAATAAGTGAACGTTCAGACGAGTTCAAGTTGATTCATAAAAGACTATGCAATCATTTATTTACACAAATTGAACAGATCATAAGTTACACTTGATTGTGGTTATTCCTATAAAAAGTGTCAAAGTTAAATGTGATAAAACCCGCGTCCGAATTTCAGTTCACATCAACTCAGATTACTTATATAGAACAGTAAAACGTCAGTTCTGATGTTAACAACCAAACAATTTTACTGGCACTTTYAGCTTAAGTTTTGGCAAATWAAKAACAARGAAAGSAGGAAAGTAAGATTAGTATGTYACTACKACTTTTACTTTTATCAAAGTGTGGGTCAACCGGAACTGCACGTCTTTTCTAAGCTCAGGTTCCACATGACACGTCACTCTGAACACATCAGCTTTATCCTGATGATGACTTCTTAAGGCACCCTCGGGGTAGGAGCTGGCTCGCCTCCGATCAGTCAGGGAACTGAGTGTCGGCTCGCTTACCGGTCATTGGCGAACAGGTGTTTTTCTAGGTAACTTTCATCTGTTTCAGTCCAAGCCAGAAAAATTCAAGCTGTTATCCGGTCCCTTCTTTTCAAAATAAAATCTCCCCACGGGAGGTGAAAACACACTTTAGAGGCTTGAAGCCTCGGGGTGGGACCGGCTGGCGTGCCGAGTCCCGGGCTGTTAAGYCTTCCCTAGTTGGCTCATGGGCTCAGACTTAAAAACCACCTGTGTCCCCTCCGGAGAGAGTCCCAGCTTTCTTCCTCGGTTGGAATCAGGAAGAAGAGAGTCGCTCAAAGCCGTCCAGGTTAGTAAAAGAAACGGACGAACTTTGGTTCCGCCCTCAGGCTTAGAGATGAGTCAGAGAAAGACAGATAAAGATTTGCCAGCCGGTGCCAGCCCAAGGTTAAAATTCTGTGGTTGTTCAACAACATGATATGATAACCCCTTTTCAGCTTTCTTCTGATAGACTAAGAGAAATCACTGCAAAACATTTATGATGATTAATTAACATTTCTGTGTTATAATCAGTTCTGAACCTTCTGTTAGTCCAGATAAATGAAAGATTTTCTCAGGAAAAATCCACAATTATATTACTGTGTTCACAGTAAAATAAAAACAGTGATTTACATAAAAACACAATGAAAACATTGTAATCAGATTCTTTGTGATTTTTTTATACCATTATAAATCTTTAAGGCACGATAAAAGAAAAGAAGTGGTTCCACTTTTCCTGTGACAGTCATTATCATGATTTAACAAATGCATAAACATTCTTAGTTAAACAACAAACAAATCACGAACAGAAGAGATTGTTCTGTCCATTATCTAATTAAGAGAACTGAGGGGTTCTCTTCCACGGTTAGAATGACCTGTCATGGCCTAAATAGAGTTCAGTTTGTGACAGAGTTCCTGTCCTCTCGTCAGGCCTGTCCGAGGCAGTAAATCTTGTTTCTTCMCTYGAGGTGACCCCTACAGCTTTTGTGATGTTTTTAATTTATTTTTTATTGCTTTTATTGTGAAGCAGCTTTTATTGTGAAGTTACCTGTTGCACATCTGCGCACACTCTAAACACTGATAGTGTTGTTCCCTTTTTGATGTTGTTTGGTCTCTTTTTTGTTTCAAGTGTGGTCTTGTGGTCTTTTTATCCTTTATCCTTTATTATTTTCTTTAATATCCTTTAAGTACTCTTTTTTTCATCTGCTTGTCTCTTGGCATTCACGATGGATGGCAAAGTAAGAATGTCATTGCTCAGGGAAACATGTTTCATCTGTGTATACGATAATAAACACTTTGAATCTTTGCATCTTTGTGATTTTATATATATGAAAGGTGCTATATAAATAAACTTTACTTACTTTGATAGTTTGTCTAAATTATATTGTACTGATTGGTATTTAGATGTGAAATTCTGCTTCCTGTYGTCATTTTTTTAAAATTAATTTCTGCGTTTCAGGGTCTGACGAACTACAACAACACTGTGTCGGTGATCAGCGAGTCTGTTTTCCAGCCAGAGCAGCTGACTGAACACAGGATGCTTTACTTTTGGTTGTCAGGTCAGCAGGACGTTTCATATTATTTATTAATCTGTAAATTTTAACGTTTACGTTTGATTTATTTACAATAAGATCATTTGAGTTTTTCAGCATTTAATGTTTTCAAGGAGCTTAGAACTGAGTTAAAGTAATTTTTTTTCAACTGACATCAATTCAAACTGAGTCTGTTGAACATTTGATCCATTCTGTGGCTCAGGAGATATTTTGCTAACAGACACAGACATGAGACTTCATAATAATAATTTATTTTTATATCGTTCAGCTCAAGATTAAAGATCATGTTATTGTTGTTTGGCAGAATTATTATAACTCCATTTTTTTCAGAAAATGAAAAATAGTTTGTTTTTAAATAAATTAGCTCTCTAAATGTGAATATTTCTCTGAGTGTTTTTGTAAAAAGCCACACACGATGTGAAGGATGGTGAAGAACGCAACAACTTGCTGGTTTTTGCATCATGACTGGATTTGAACAAACATCAGGATTTATAACTAAAGAAACTCAGCTGTTGGTTTTAATAACAAACTTTGTTTTCTACTGGTTGAACTGGTTTTAATCCAGACGACGCCTTCAGACCTCTGGTTGCTGCTGCTCACCAAGAYGGACGTTTCCGACTCAACATCTCGTCAGAAGAGCTGAATGTAAGAAAAACTTTATTTAAAACCAGAAACAGGATCAAATCTACATGAGATTTTTGTGGGGTTTTTTGTCATTTCAGAGACTTTTCAGGCCGGGTCTGTCCAGCACCGTGCCTCAGCACATCCAAGAGGTAAGAATCAAACCCTTCAAGCTGAATCGTTAGGAGCCAGCAGCTTTGTTTCTGTTGCTTTGTTGATAAGGCAGTGGATGTGGTCTGTGCAAGATTGAAATCAGACACCACTCTCAGCAGCAGAACCACACTTTC